GATTTCTATAATAGATTTTGGGTGTTTTAAGTAAAAAAATGTTGAAACATTGGATTTTGAAGATTAAGGCCGGGCGGTGCAAACCATATTTTACAAAAAATTATTTTTATATATATTTTAAATTATTTTAATACATTAATTTTAAAAATAATTTTTTAAAATAAAAAATATTATTTTAACATAAAAAATATTTTAAAAAACCACAATTAGACTCACAAACATTCTTTGAAAAAACTCAGAAACTGGATTTTTATCTGCTCACAATTTATTTTAATCGATGATGCACCTTTCGTTTTATTTTTTTTTTTTTTTTAAAAAAAAGACACGTTTCTTTTTTTCAAGTCAAACCACACCGACTAGGAGCTCGCCATTCCATAGTTTTTTTTTTTTTAATGGCCCTTCTGCTTTTCTTTTTCTTATATTTTTAGAATAAAATTATTAAAATATTTTTAAAAATTATTTAATTATGTTATAGTTTTTTAAATAAATTTAGAACTTTGATGGTATGATTAAAATTTACTTTAGGAATATTTATATATGAATCTAATTTACAATTTTTTATAAATATTTTCCATGCATATTTGATAAGAATAAAATATTAATTTTATTATTTTATAATTCTATCAAATTGATTATTTTTTAAAAAAAGTTTTCATACAGTTGTGAGGTTTTTTTTATTAAGATATGCCTTTTTATTTTGAAATTTTTTTATTTTATAAAAAATACTCCTAATAAAAAATACAGGAGCAAAGAAAGATATTTCCGATTAAAAAGAGATTTTCTTTTCAATTTAAATCATTTAAAGTATTTACAAATATTTTTTTGTTTATTTTTATTTTTATTTTTATTCAAAAAAGCCAAACTACAGACGTAGATATTTTTGTTAAAACAAAAGACTAAATGAAGATTTTTTTACTATAAAACAATTTATTTTTAAAATCTAAATGATAATAATAATAATAATAATAATAATAAATTGTTAAAAACATTTTTTTTTCTTTGAAAAACAAATTCACCGACTACGAGCATTTATTGAAATGTGAAAAAAGATATGAGAAAAATGCAAAGTCATTGGTTAGGAAAAGGATGAGTGAGTGGAGGTTGCAGAAATGGCAGATATTCCAGGCTAAACGACAAGAGAGAGAATCTGACACATGTTAAAGAAGAAGGTTGTGGACCAGCATTCTCACATCCACACACACTTTAATGCGCTTATCTACAACAAGAAAGAAAGAAAGAAGGAAGGAAGTTATAGCTCTTTGTTCTTCTCCCTCGCTGATTATCTTACATTAAAACCTTCTTTAAGATCTTTTTTAATCAGGTTTTACTTAATCTGCTACCCACAAAACCCGAAACCCCTTTTTTAACCTGGTCTTGCAGGAAGATTCCAGGCAAGGCAAAGCAAATGTCAAGTCAAGACAGCACCTTTTTTTCTCCTCTCTTTATTGTAGCTCTCCACGAACAAATGGTCATTTGGGGTGGTTTAGGGTTTTGCAGAGAATATAATGGTGGTGCAGAGAGAGAGAGAGAGAGAACAGAACATAAACAAGAAATTAAGAAAACAAAAGAGTGGGGAGAGGCAATAATTAGGAGATGGACCAGTGTGCAGGCTGTGAGAGAGAACTAACATGACCTTGTCGGTTGTTTAGCAAGAGTCCCACTGTCTCCCCCCCACCACCCCACCCCCCCCTCTCTCTCTGTTTTCAGTCCCTAATTGTCATAACTGTTTTTTAGTACAAACCAGCCTAACCTGTTCCTCGGATCGATGGGTTTCATGGGTATGGATAGGGTGCTAGGAAACACAACTCTCCAAGGCATCTTTGTTTCTCTTTTCGCATAAGAATTTAAAATTTTATTTTCTTTTTCATATCTCTACATCTATCACTCTCTCTTACATATAGTGTGAACTTCTGGTGGTGCAGTTACAGCTTGCTTACTTCGAGTTTACAGTATCTAATTGATCAAGGTATGTCTTGGTTTGTAGGGGCCCGTGGTACTCTACTAGATAGACGGTGATCTCGTGGTTTTGTCTTTATATATATATATATATATATATATATATATATATATGTCCTGTTTGAGTTTCAAAATCGCTCTACTTTGTTTTCTTGTGCGTGTATTAATCTCTTCCCTAAGTGATCTAATCATCAGTATATCTACTGCTCAATCACTTTGCTTACGTCTTTAAGAACAGGAGCTGAAATTAGTGAAATGGGTTGGTGAGTTTTGCACCTATCAAAGTCAAAATCAGAAGAAGAGAGAAGTGATAATCTTACTCAACTGTTACCTGGTGAATAGCTCTTTTATCAAGTTTGTTTCGTCGGATTAGATGGGCTAGCGCTGAATTACGGTTGAAAAGGATCACAGGAAGATCCATGGTTTTAAGAGAGATCAGCTGGAAGCTAATTATCTGTGCTTCAAGAAGATACATATGTTAAGGCAAGGCAGGTTGAGATCAAGAATTAAATCAAGAGTTTAGAAAGCAATTAAGTTTCATGGAACTAAGAGGCCAAGATAAGGGAATAGGGATGCCAAGGTCCTTGAACTACAATCCACCAGATAATAGAGATTCCTCCTCGAAAGTCCCTAATTCTGCTCCTGCAAGAAGAGATCATCATCATGCTGCTACAGTACTACCTCATGCCCTTGAGCACCAATCTCTTTATCATCATCAACAACACCAAGCTCAGAAACCCACAAGAGATCTTGACCTAACACCAGATCCAGTTCAAGCTACAACCCCAATTGCAACTACAGGTGCAATAAACACAGCACAAACTCCAAGTAGATCAATTTCAAGATCACCACCACCACCAGCAGCATCTTCGGCATCAACAAGATATAGAGAATGTTTGAAGAATCATGCGGCGAGTTTGGGAGGACATGTTTTGGACGGATGTGGAGAATTCATGCCCGGCGGTGAGGAGGGTACTCTAGAATCCTTCAAATGCGCAGCTTGTGAATGTCACAGGAACTTCCACAGAAGAGAGATTGATGGAGAGCCGCAATGTGTAGCCAATAGTACCCTCTACAAAATCAGCAATGGCCAAAGAAATATACTACCGCCTCAACACCTTGTTACTTCATGTGCTCCACGACAACTTTTTCTTCATCAGCATCACAGATACCATTATGGCACATTGAGTGCTTACACCACTCCAATTGCGCCGATGACAATGAGCTTCGGCCGGGGCGATGGAGGTGGGGCTGCAGCGGAATCATCAAGTGAGGATCTCAATATGTATCAATCAGATTTGCAAGGGCAAGCATCAATGCAGCCATCGATGTCGAGGAAGAGGTTCAGGACAAAGTTCAGCCAAGATCAGAAGGACAAGATGACGGAATTTGCCGAGAAGTTGGGATGGAGGATCCAAAAGCAAGATGAGCGAGAGGTGCAGCAGTTTTGCTCCCAAGTGGGTGTAAAGAGAAAAGTTTTCAAGGTTTGGATGCATAACAACAAACAAGCTATGAAGAAGAATCAAGTGTAAGAGAAATAAAAACCCTTGAAAATCAATACTACTATTGTTATCAATTAGGAGATGAAGGTAAATCTAGCTAGTCAATAAGTAGATAAGTGTGAATAGCCAACAAGAGAGGAGAAGATAGCTTAGCACTCACTACTATTTTTTCTCTAGTTCCAAGTAATGCTCCTGCTTATTAACATCGATCAACTTGTATTCTCTTAATCTTAGACAATCTCGTCAGTACTGGTCGCAAATACTTCGAAAAACATAAATGGAAAGCAAACCCTATCATAATTCTTAATGTGCAACAACATATTTGAAGTTTTTGTTTTCCATCACTAGCTAAGGGAAAAGGGAAAAACAAGATAGAACATCTTTAATTGGTCATGAACATGGAATGCATGCTTCATACTTCCATGTATGTCTCCTCTCTCCCTTTTTCTTTCTTCGGATGCTTAAAATTTAACTATGTGCTTACAACTATTCCATGAGGCCCCCCAAAATTAGATTCTTTGAACCTTCCTACAAAATGATAAGGTACATCCGAAAGCCGGAGCAAACGGGATACCAATGATTTGAGGGCGCACGAAAATGAAGTGACTAGCTGGCCATTCTACTCCCCAAGGCTTTGGTGTTTTTTTTAATTAATTCTCATTGGCCATTTTCACACCCCACATTTATTTTTGCTTGGTATTCGTGTCTCTGTATTGATTTTGTCTTTAATGCGTTAAAATCATGGATTGAGAGTCATCAAATAATATAGACACCGCATAAATTGATGAATTGAAGAAGACATCCTAATTTCCTACCGATGATTATCCAAAAAAAATAAAATTGAAGAAGACATCCCTTGTTAATGGAGTGCTCTAGAAGAAATGACCTAATGAGAGAAATTGCAAACGAAGTTGGAATAAATCCATGCATTTGGAGTCGGCGTCACGGTTCAATGTAAATCAAGGAGTTACACCTCTTCAAAGGAGTTCTTGCTCAGCAAAAAGAAGAAAGCCAGGAGTTATAAGAATGTTTAGGGTTGGGTACAAATTAAATGGTGTGCCCATGAGAGAAATCCATATGATGTTTGAATAAGTTCTCATGTATTCACAAGTAGTGCCAAGCATGGAGTACGAAAACACAAAACACGATCTCCCATGATCCGAGAGAAAGTAATGAATGGCATTGAAATTCGGAAAAAGAAGGAATGAGACTGCGAAATTAGCCTCCAATGAAAGGAAGGATTCCTAACAGGAGGTGAATTCCAGGGAATTAGCCTCCAAGAATGGGAGGTAAATTCCAGGGATCATGAGGTGAACAGTTTGTTCTCCCCATTGTAAACAATATTTTCCGAGTATTCCTACTCTTGTTCGTGTTTCCATTCTACTTCTAAATTTTGTCAGTCAGGAGTCCTATTATCCAATGCATTACACACATCATTTACAAACCAAGTGCTGATCTTGTAAAGAGAAAAAGAAATTAAACACAAGCTGGTGTTTTATTTAGAATTTTAGATTGTAAAGAGGCCTAATAAGAAAAGGAAAATGAACGAACTACATAAAATTTATTGGATGCTATCTCGTACATGTTATGAGAAAAAAGAAAAAGAAGCTAATTAAAGAGCTATGACTCACAGACGAAGATACTGTGCCGAAACTGGTGAAGTCCTCTCAAAGATCAGCAGTCTCCTTTCTCATCTTATATATCTCCAATATCACTAGTTGCCTTTGACAGCGTCTCCTTGGCAGCTTCATTGCTGGCCTTGGCCTGATCAGTCACTGTGTCTTTGGCAGACACATATGCCTCCTTAATCTTGTTCTTAGTTTCATCAAAAGCATCTCTCTCACCATCTCCTCCATGCCCCATTGCTCCTGCCGCTGCTTCCTTGGCCTTGCTAGCCTTCTCTGAGGCTATATTTGAAGTTCTGTAGATCTCCTCTTTAGCTACATCATAGGCATCGGTGACTTTCTCGTGTCCGTACCACATTGCTTCCGATATTGTGTCCTTCACATCATCTGTCTTGTTTGAAACCATATTTGAGTCCGCTTTCGCATACTTCTTAACTTCATCATAAGCATCCGCAGCTCGGTCTCTTCCATATCTCATTGCTCCTGAAACGGCCTCATTAGCATCACTAGCCCAATCTGATGCAATATTTGAAGCCTCGTTAAAGGCATCAGCAGCTCTATTTTTTCCGTAATCCATTGATCTCCCCACTCTTTCTTTAGCATCATAAGCCTCATCAGTGACTGTGTTCATTTTCTGGGTAGCATCACCATAGGCATTTGCTGCTTTATCTTTCCCATATCCTAGTGCTCCACCAATCGTGTCCTCCATATTGTTTGCTCCATCTGAAACCTTGTCTTTAACAATGTTCCACTTCTGATTAGCTTCATCATAGGCACCCTCAATTTTACCCCCTCCATATTCCATTGCTCCTGCCAATGTTTCCCTGGCATCACTAGCTTTAATATTGGAAGCCATTTGCTTGGCTTGATCGGCTTTCTCTGAAGCAAAGACGTCCCTCATGTCACCCGCCTTCCCAAAGGCCATGTCTGCTGCCTCACCAGCCTTTTGAGAGGCATACCTTGAAGTTTCTGAAAAAAAAGATCGAAGGGGAATCAGCAAGGAGCAAGCAAGTTCTTGTTTGAAGATTAACCAAGTTTTGGCTTGGCATACAAGAGCAATAGTTACCAGATGCAACAGAATTCATAGTATCTGTGGTCTTTGAGGCAGCATCTCCAGCTCTATCCATTATATTTTGAGCTCCCTCTCTTGCATTTTCTTGATTGAATCCAAATCCACTGTTAATACCATTAGAACATTAGTGTGGAAAATTAACAAAGTATAATTAATGATTCTATAACATTCAAACAAGCCATGTTCTTTGATCTTCTACTGGGGCTGCCAAGCACAAGAGGAATAAAAAAGGAGTGGACAATGATCTATAATAAATGTTTAGCCAAACATGCTTGCCAAGATTAGGCAAATTTTCATTAACTTGAGATATGAGTAGATTGTGAAACTATGAAATTAAATCACTAATTTTTGTTAATTGAATTGTTGACATATATAGAATCATTGTATTTGTTTAATATTTACATTAATTTATCATGCCTGTTCATGGTTTTAGATGGAAAATGATAGATACAATAATCCATGAGAAATTAATGACTACAAAAACACAAAGGATAATGATAGAGATACTTGATTTTTTTACTAAATTTTGTTACTAGATAATTTTATTAATCACTCACTATCATACTTATAATTATCTCATTAAATATAATAATTACATTTCACTTTGTAAAATTTTTATATAATAATTACATTTCACTTTGTAAAAAAAATTTGTAACCCTAGCATTACCCAAACAAAAATTACACCCATATCGAGTGAATAAAAATAAAATGTCAGGACTCATTATCTAAATTTCAATACAATGCAAGAAATCACCTTTTGAATTTTTGTAATAATAGGTTATTTGTAACCCATTTTGTATAATTAAATTTCATTAATAAATGAATTTATTTTATTTTTTGTATTAGCTTCATCGCATTATCACCATATTTTATTTCATTTAAAGGTCTAGATAGATAGATGAGCATTTTAAAAAAGTTGATTTTACTATTTTTTTTTTTTGGAATTGTAGATTAAAGGATTGAATTATGTTTGAAATTCAATTCCTTACTCTCTCTATACTTTCATGCTTAAATTTTAATAAAAAATTTCTAAATTAAATTTAATTTAGAGAGTTCAAACATGCACCACAATTCTATTCCATTGCCATTTGTATCTTATTGAAGAGCATTTACAAGAGTTGCTAAAATTGTTAGAAAAGGTTGGGTATTAGAAAGAGAGACAGCATGGTAAGATAAAGATATTGAGGAAGAAATGAAGGGAAAATTAGATTGATTACTCGGTGAACTTTTGATACGCTGAACCAGTCCAAGTCTTTCCTTTCTCCTCGGCGTCTTGCATGGTTTCTGCCGCACCATGCTTCATCTCTTCAGCCTTGATCCTTGCATCTTCCGCTGCCAAATTCACTCTTTCCTTCGTATTCTCCACCAAATCCTCAGTAGAATAACTAGTACTCCAGCACAAAGACACCTCCATCCATAGCACCATCACCATGATCATCACCTCAACTCTCTTCTCCATATCTCCTCCTCGTTTTCTTCCAAAACAGAAGTGTTTTTAAACTTTTGTGCGTCACAAACCACCAAAACCCAAGTTGGAATTCAAGCAAAAAAGTCAAGATCGTACAATGTAACTGTGCTGCTGGTCATTCTTTATGTGAATTATGGAGGTCTAGTTAAAGTAAGATGGTGGTTACGGAGAATCTGTTGGTGTCGAAACGTGGCAGCAAGGGGAGTGCGTGTCGTGAGTAGGGGACGATTCTTACTGCTATGATGCCATGTGTTCTTTAAGACAGGTTGCTGCTGGCCACCGTTCATGCAACCTGGTTTTTATTCTTTTATCTATTTTTATTTGCCTTTTTGCATGCAATTTTTGTGGTCGGCTGGGCCATAGGTATAGGCGCGAGCTCCAAACTGATTTTTCCACGAGTCTTGCTCCTTGAAAAACGTAAAGGAGATCCCTGGTCCTCGCTGCCCGGAGCATGGGGACAACTAACTCTCCATAAACGGTCTTAAAAGACCTGGGACGTTGGCTGTTTTTTGAGTTTGCTCCACGTGTAATTATCAACCTTCGGCTTCTATTTGATGTACTTTCGACCGTCATTTTTTCTTCTTTATGTTGCAGTTCTTTTTTTCTCTAATTCTGCGGCCATCTATCATCGTAAGAGGGAGAGCCTGAGACATCTTTATAATGTGTGATGAGACTTGAGAGTCAGCCATTCGAGGGAGTATTAGCTGCTCGTGTATCCAACATCTTTCAAATGTGTGATTCTTACCACCTCAAAAATCAACACCATTGTCGAGGTAAGGTTAATTTGTGATGAATTGGACAATTTAAACCATTTCAGACATGGTTTTTCTACTTGGCAAACAATCACTAGTGTAAATAATAAGACAGTAAAAGATTCTGAAAGAATTCTGATGTATCGACCAAGGGAAATGATATAAATAATATCTGGGGTATTAAAAGATTTAGAGGAACAAAATTCCCATTAAATATCTGGGATACACAAGGTAAATTAATTCTGAAGAATGTATTCCCCAGCTAAACTGGGTGGTCACCTTCCGCTGCCAGTTTTAGCCGCTGGTGATGCTCCGCAACCTTGTAATCTACAATCTCCCTAAATAGCTGCGAATCCAATACACAATCAGGGCGTCCATAGACAGCTGCTTGGACACTGGCCAGGAGTTTCGCTATCTCACGACCAGAGAACCCTTCTGTTTTCTTAGCAGCCTCTCGGATCACATCTTCAGAGATATCTTTTATGGTTATTTTTTGTGTCTTCTTCTTGAACAAAGATCCCTTACTGGACCCACTGTCCCCTTCACTAGAAAGGTAGTTGCTCAAATACAGGTTGAGCAGTTCAAAACGCTCCTCCTCTCCAGGTAGCGGGAACTCAATCACTTCATCGATACGGTCAGTAACAGCACTATCAAGATCACCTGGCCTGTTTGTGGCAAGGACAAGAACTATGTCCCTTGATTGATCCCCAGTTCGGAAGAGTAATGCATTTAGAGCACTTCGCTGAGCTTCACTCATATGTGTACTGTTACGCCTGAGTTAGATCAATAATAGCACTATCAGCCTGATTACCAAAAAATTAACTTGAAACCAAAAAGACACAGCAAAAATCTAAATTCTGCATCACACAACAAGAAATAACATTGTTCCGAACCATTTCAGCAAATTCAACATGCTTTAGAAAACCAAATATTATTTTGGTATTTGTTTCAAAAGGGTGAAATGATTGCAAGTGCAAGTCAAACTCAGAGTGCCACGAAACCTTTATCAAGCATCACATTATCTCTACATGCAAGATTACACACCATCAATAAACAAGAGTATCACTTTATTTCAATAAATAATCTGCAATATGCAAATATACCTAGAACTTAATGCACCAAGATGAGGTTAACTTACTCGCTTAGGAAAGCATCTGCCTCATCAATGAAAAGCAGTAAGCCTTTTTTTGACTTCTTAGCCCAATCAAATATCTCATGGATTTTAGTAACAGCTTCTGCCCCCAGAGGTGCAACATCTCCTCCTGTCATCATGGCATAATCCAAACCCTATGCAAGAAGATCAGAGATTAAAGAGTGACAAGAAAATTTGGAAACAGAAGTTTGCCATAAAAAAAAAACAAAGAAAGAAAGAAACGATGAACAGAAAAGGAAACAGAGGTGCTTCATAGCCTAGAGACCTGCTCCCTGAAAATATAAACCTGAAACTAGTGCCAAGAGTGATAAGATCCTAGGAAAGCATGTCTTATGGTTTATTTTGTATTTAGAAAGTCCAATGATCAAGTAGATTTGTGCCAAGCATCCTATTCACAATATGCATATTTCAGAATGTTCTTTATATCCTTTTTCCAGTTTCAATCTGTAAAATGGATGAAGAAATCACTCAATTCAGCATCTGAACACATGTTAGTATGAATGATATGGTTTCTACACAAAAATGGTTCCTCGACAATTTAAAGTATCCCGGAGATTACACATCCACCAAAAGGTTCGGGGACCGGAAACCAACAGATCACTTATAAAAAGTCAATAACTAATTGTTGGTTATAAAAGATAATGGAAGAAAGCAGTGAGTTAAATCCATACCGATTTTCTAGCTATCTCCCTTGCAACCATAGTTTTACCAGTGCCAGGAGGTCCATAAAACATCATATTGCGAAAGGGTGCCTGGTGAGTTTTAGTGTTTGCCGTAGCTCTAGCAAGGTGCTCTATTCTCCTATGCAATGATGGATGGAGGACAATGTTTCTGAAACCATTCTTTCTTTCCAAAGGAGATGCTGTCCCAGCTGCTGTACTGTATTTCATAGCTTTGTTTTTCGCTCGAGATATTACCCTAGAAAAAGGCAATCTAGACATGGATGATTCTCGGATCAGAGAGGGCTGCCCCAATATCCTGTTGATATAACCCCATATAACTCTCGAACCTTCTCTGTAGAAACAATACAGACAACCAGGGCATTGTTAGATGGAGTATCTAACAAAATTGACCTATCAATTCAGCCATGTCCTTAACAGAATTATGTCAGTAATCAATGTATAGAAGACCCCAATAAATAAATTCAGCTTTAGAGACGTTTCAAGAAGTGCCTGAAACAAAGTGGAAAATGAGTAGCATCATGGCATGTTGCAGGGTGATACCAATGATGGTGACATTGAGATGAACTTGGAGAGGAGAGTGATTGTGTGGTGGTAGGAAGTGATATTCCTGTGATCATTTTATATATCCTATTCCTATCTATTTTCCAACATGCCTTGAGTTTAATTAGCATCCTCCAAAGAAACCCAAATAGCACTCTTGTGTCAAATGAAGCTCTTAGCTTCAGACACAGTCCAAAGCATCACGCCTTTTTAAGAAGAAACACAGCAAAAAACTTCCAAGGGTATATTCTTACTAAGTGAATGAAAACAGAGCGGGTGCAGAGAAAAAGGTATTATACAAACCTAGTTGTGTAAATTCCTGCAGCCAATGCAGTAGCTCCTCCAACAGTCATAATCAACTTATTTCGATCAGTTAATAAAGTCCTGAAACCACCTGTAGAAGCAATTTATATCCAAAAATTAAATACCATCCAACAAACAAGCCAAGATTTTTAAGTTACAAGAATGCATTAAACTAGAGCAAGGGGCAAGAGCAATATCACAATATAACATCCATTTCAGCTGTTGCAAGGAAAAACCCAGTGATTCATCTGTGGTTTTGTAGACTTTTGAACAAGTATCTAACTCCACATGTGACCAACCAGTTTTCATACAGTGTACATACTTGTTTTCATCAGATCAGCCCTGTAACTGAGACAACCATTAGTTGAGAAACATTCTAACCAGTAGTTTACCTTCAATGTGACTGAAGGTTGTATTAATTGCAGCAAGCCATTTTTCTCTTTCACCATTTATCCGTTCAACTAGCATTCGTCTGTTATGTTCCTCGGTCAATTTCGCCTCATGTGCCCGACCTTCAGCCTCAGCCATGGCTTTAACTCGTATTGTTTCCCGTTCTATTTCGGCTCTCTCTTTCTCAGTCTGACGTTGTTGAGCCTGGATCTGCTCCTCAGTAGCCCGTCTTGCTTGTTCTTTTCGTATGGAAGACTCCTCTTGCATCTTAACCAATTCAACATTATGCCGCTTCTGAGCTTCATGGTCTGTCTGCAAACATGACAACAAGCAAATAGTAAATGTACCTTGCTTTGCAAGTAATAAGTTAGCCAACTATTTCAAACTGACCAAAACAAATGAATTTAAGTAAATAGTTAATTTCAGTTAGTTCCAGAAAATATAAAAGAAATTTAAACGAGTGAGCTTCACTATCTAAACTTGCTTGTGTCCTTGACTGATTTTTCCCAAAACAAGAACATACAAGTCAGATCCGCAGCAATTTGGTGACATTAAATTCACAGGCAAGGATGTTTTTCATATATCAACTGAAAATGCAAGAAACTTTTAAATGAAATCCCAAAACTTTCTTTGAACTAAGAATGAGAGGCTATCCCAACCTGCATTCTTTTTCTCGCCAATTCATCCTCGTAACGCAACATTTGTGCCTTTGCCTGTGCTTGCTGCTGAATCAGATTTCTTTGTTCTTCATGCAATTTTCGCTGCCTGTCCTGCCAATACATAAACTCACAGCATAAACCAAAACTGGCAACAAATTTCCACATTATACCATACCCTTTTGGTGACAAAACAATAACCCTAGCTAGCAATTAACAACAGAGACGTATTTAGATCTAAGCAAAAACCAAGAGACAAAAAACATGATCCCCTTTAACACATCAATCCATCACCACATAAATTGCAACACAGACACATTAAAAAGGAACCCAATAAGAACAGCAAACATCGAAAACAGAAGCGTGCAAGATAATTTATCACTCACAATATCAATTTGAGCTTGAATTACTTCATAATGAGATTTCTCCGCTGCCACTTCCGCCAATCGTGACTGCTCTTGCTTCCTCATAACATCAAACACCTAAAAAAGCACAAACATCATAAAAACCCACCTCAGCAATTCAAAAATCACTAAAAAAACAGTCTAAGGTTTCTAAATTTCAATTTAACAAATTAATTAACTCTAAACTAAAAACAAAATCATTTCAACTCCCCAAATTTAAAAACAATGAATAAAGATATGAAACTGAAACTGGATAAAAATCAAAACCTGTTTAGCGTGTGGAGAGCTATTGATTTCACGAAGAGCTTTAGCTCCTCTCTCTAAAGCTTCCGGGTCAAAACCCGCCCCTTTCGGTTCTTCAGGTTCGGGTTTTGCATCGGATTTCGGGTTCGCAGTTTGATCCTCTTCTTGTTGCTGTTGCTGTTTCTGTGAAGGAGAGGATGAGAAAGGATTGAAGCGAAATGAGGAGTCGGCATACGCACGGCTTTGAAAAGTCGAGACTGCCGCCGCTGCCGCAGCGACAGCCGCGACAGATAATCTGGAAGCGGACATGAGTAAAAAAGGGAGAAGTTGAATTAGGGATTGATTTGATGGATTGGTTGGGAGTTCATGTGGGTTCTTTTGGGGTTTTAGGGTTACCTAGGGTTTAAAGGAACACGTCTGGTTGTTTGCTGCTAGGGAAAGGAGGAGGGTTTAAGGAATGCCTGCGTGGAGAGGAATCTAGTGATAGCGGTGCCAAAACGATGAAAGGGAGGGTCGTATCTTGTTTTAAAATCAGAAAATGAATTAAGATTACAATTTTATTATTTTATACATACATACATATATATACATATATATATATTGTCTTATCCAGATTACAAACCTCATTTGAAACTAGACAACGACTCCAAATCAGTCAAGTCCCCGAACAACCCCCCAAGTCAAGCCGTCCTAGAGTCACAAGGTTGTCAGCTTAGGATGACTTGTCAAAAATAACTTTTTATTTTGAGTCATAATTTAAAATTTATTTTTTATAAAAAACTTGTAAGAGAAATATGTTAAAATAAATCATATTATAAGTATATTCGATGCAAGTAACAGTTAATTAGTATGTTATATAAGTTAGAATTCATAAATTAAAATTTATAACTTTAATAAAAACAAAATTTTGACTTAACTTTATAACAAATTTAGTTAAAAAAAAACTTAAATCAATCTGTAAAAATTATATTAAACAAGGTAAGTTAAAAAAATTGCCTTTTCTTCCCGAATAAGTTTATATAATTATAAAATAATAAGTTTATACTTTATTATATTTCCTAAAATATCCTATTAATTCATTTAAAATTTATAAAACGATAAATATTTTTTTAAAAAAATTTATATTTGATCATTTATTATTATCTCAGTTATGTCTAATTAGTTAAATTCTAACATGATAAGATAATATTTTTATGACACCAAGCCATTAACATTTCTATTATAGCTCATAAGTAGCATAATTTTGGAGTAATTAATTAGTTTTGCAAAATTTATTATAGCACGATAACAAGATTTTGGAGCAATTAATTTATTATAGCACGATAATAATATTGGGATTGGGGATGGTTTACAGATTTAATCCTGACAATATGCCAATTGAATTGTGGGACAAAACCCCCTTCTTCTTTTTTTAAAGAATAGGAGTTCTTCAGACTTCAGAATTTTAAATTAACAAAAAAGAAGAAAGTTCAAAACTTTCAAAATGTTCCTGTTACTCCACGAACCAGGACGAAAGATCACGTTAATGGGTGTTGAATTTTCTTTGGTCTTCTTAATTTCGTTACTTTTCTTTCCTTTTTGATTTCCAGTTTTTCATGTACTTCTGTTGAACTCACTGTGTTCGACGGTGCAATCTTATGATGTCCAATTGCGTTATTATACAATATTGTTATGAATTAGCAATTAACTTGAGGAGGGGACTGCACTGTTTATGCAATCCTGTTTTGCTCCTTTGGCTTTAGTGAAAATATTGGATTGAAATTTATTATTTAGTATTTTCGTCTGCAATGCTTGTTTAGAGAATCAATCATCCAGTAAAGAAAAAGGAGTGCACTGAAGTCATTGGTATTGAAAGTCTAAGCTGGACTTCTGAAGAGAGTAGAGCACTTAGCCAGTTACCATGTCCTGGTGCTTGGTTGCCAATATTATTGTTGTTCGTCCATTATATTTATATCTGTGACAGTTTGATTTGAAGCCATTAATGATTGGATTTTTTGAGCTAAATCCATGCTTATGTATGTTTTAGGGGTCCATTTCCTTTGGATTTTTTAGATAAAGTTTTGATAGCACGAGGTAAATGGTAATTCTTGGAGGGTTTCTTCATATTTCCTGCATAACGGGGGTTCTCTGCTCTTTCCTGCACTTTTCTGATGAACTTTGCTCATATAGGAAACTCATGACACTGATTTAATTCTACAAGGAGGGTTACAACATATAGGATAAACTAATAACAGGAAAATATTAACTTGGTGGACAATGTGTCTTTTCCAACACTTTTTTTGCAAGTAGTAGTGGTGGACAAGTAGTGTATTCAACAACTTAAAACTTGTTTCTAAGCTGCATCTAGTAATTTGCAGCTTTTGGTACCTTTTGAACCTGCAAGGAAGACCGTAGGGGGGGGTTAGACCACAGAAAGCTCAAAATCCAAGTCATGGGTTTGGTTATATATAATGATAGTTCAGCTAATGAAGCAGTTAGAAGTTCCAGGCAGGTTGGAAAAACACTGAGCATGAATAACGACAATGTGATGCATAATAAAGAATTGAAAAGATCTGAATAAACGACTGGTTTTGCTTGGCAAGAGAATCCTTGATGAAAATAAAAAATGAAAGGCCAAAGTCTTAGATCTCCAAAGCTTAGGACATTGCATGTTATGTAGGATTGGATCTCGAGTGGGCTATTGGCTTGGAGACAGAATAAGAAGTTGAACAGATGATGTTCAGGCATGGCCTTTTCAGTTATCTATATGATAAGCAGTTAGGTGAACTGGATGTTGGCCTAATGATTGGTTGGAAAAGTTGATGGACCACATAAATCTGACACTTTACGAGTTTTCCATCCTCACTTTCTTGGATTATTCCGAGGTCCCATAATGCCAAGAATTTACTTTGACGGTTAGGCGAATGACAGTGCAGAATTTGATTGACCATTCCCATGGAATTTGTCCTGAAATATCAGAAACCTACATTGCCTGTATCCTGGCTTAAATAATGCTTCAATACTTACATATGACATCAATCTTAAGAGCAACATTACAATGATGCTTGAAACAAGGAATACAAGTTGTGATGAGAGCATTACCTCGTGCTTGGTTACCAATGCCTTAGTTGCCGTTTCCACTTGACCAGTAATTAGGGAATGGAACTCTGCCAGACTCGATTTCTCTGACATCCTTGATAAGAATCTCATAGTGCATCTTCACTTCCTCTGCAGATTTCCCACCCACAGCTTTGGCAACATTATGCCAGCGGTCAGGGGTGTCCTTGTCATATAAAGCCAGGGCCTTTTCGAATAGTTTGTTTTGCTTAGGTGTCCAAGAGGTGAGAGAATTGGAAGACATCAGTGAAAAATTGTGTGCAGTCCTGAAACTACTGGAGGTAAAGGGTGTTGACAGGTTCTGGAGGATTGACTGGGAAAAAAGCGAGGAACTAGTTCAGAACCCTAACACGCTTGAATTCCACAAAAGAGAAAAAAGGGAAAAGATGGTCTGTTAAGTGGGGAGGAAGATGACTTGGAAGTAAAGGGATGGTATGGTGAAGGCATCACTGAGGGAGCTCCTTATAAGCAGGGGGAGACTAGTGGGGTAAGACAGTGGGAGAATATATCTTCCTAAAGAGCAGAATATAGCGTGACTTGTCCACTCAAGAGCCACAAGATGGAGTAGAGAGTGAAACGGAAGAATCAGTATCGAAGGACAGGCTCTTTATTTTCTTAGCCGAACAATTTTCTTGATTTTTATCATTGACAAGTGGGATTTTCCTTTTCTAGTTACTGGTCGGCGGATGATACGATCAGATGTACCCTGGAATGGAATTAGCTGCAGCGATTTTACTACCTTTTGTCTTCTTACAATATGATGCTCGCACCCCTCTTTTGTTCTGCTGATAGCTGTAGCATTTCAAGAGAAAAACAATACTTTCTTATTGTCACTCGTCAAATGGAAGCTTGAGCAACTTGGTCTGGAGTTTCTGACATAAAGCAGTAGAATAGATAGTTCTTTCCAATTTTAATTGCTTATCAAATAAATCCCCATGTCTGTGAATGATTTTTTCCCCAGTCTTGGTTGGCTACTACTATGAATATTTCTAGCTTGCTTGTTGAAAAGAACATAGGATTGACGAATGCTCAGTGCTGCAGCTTGTTTGGTTGCAAAATTGGCAGAGTTCAGGGCTGCAGTCTTTTAGCAACTTGTGTTTAATGCCCTTCGAGTTAGGTTCGTGACATCATACACGCAACGGAAACGGGGTAATATTTAGTAACTTCTAAGCAGGGTTGTTTAAAGATTTATTATTTAAAGATTTAAATTTTTTTATTTTGAATAATTTTTGAATAATTGAGTTTGTTGTAAATCATGAGATATTTAATTATTTGATTTTTAATGATAATTCATATAAATAATCAATAAAAAATCTCATGAATCTTTATTTAGAAGAGAAGAATTATCATGCTTGGAATGTTATCTCTTTATTATATAACATATATGATTTTTTTATTTAATAAATAACCTTTTTAAAATAAAAGGTATAACTTTATATCTATAAAGAATTCTAAAAACTCTATAACTAACAAAATATCTATTTATCCTTAAAATAATATCCATATATTATTTAAGAATAATTTTAAAAATTTAATAAATTAAATCTCTACTTGATTATTTTAAGACTATAATTATAATCCCTGAATTAAATATATTTTAGTATTTAATTTTTAAAATTATTTTTAATTAAATTACACTTGATTAATTATTTCAATTTAATTTTTAACTTAATTATCTTGAGTTTATGAATCATTTACATGATTGTCACGCGATTCTTTCCACAAACACGAATGATATTTTGATATGAAATTCTCTTATGAGTTAGTTCAGTGTACATGTCTTATGATAAACATCTAGTTATTAATTATAGGTATTTTTATACTTTAATTTATAAAAACAACTATTCTTTTTATAAAAAAAAAAAGTACATAATATATATCAATCTTTATAGTTATAATAAATATCCAGTATTAAGAGAGCATTAACTAGAAATATTTAGAAACAATACTTTGATGTAATAAAAATCTCATAATTATAATATTTTTATAATTTTCCTTGTAAAGTATTTTTTTCTATAAAATTTATTTTTCTATTAAATTTATTTATCAATTAATAAATTTATAAATTAAATATAAATAAATATTAAAAATAAATAATATTTTTATTTAATAAAATTAAATATATTATATATAAATAAAATAGTTACACATGTAACCAATTGATAAACTAAAACTTCCATGGGCACCAAGGCTTGTAGCCCAGCGATCCTGGTAGAGTTTCTCTACCTATGTATCCTGGATTCAAGTCTCAACATACATATCTTTTATCTTTGTGGTATTTTATTTGTTTATTGAACTTGCAAGATGTTCAATAAATCCGGGAATTAGTCATGATGCGTATAAACTAGTCTGGATACCCCGGATTATAACAAAAAAAACAATAAACTTCCATGGGGACGTGACGGTTGTAGTTACAGTAAACATAGGATTGACTGTCTCATCTTGAAGCA